CGATCACTCTCGGTACTTGCCAGCACATTCCTTGCGTTAATTGAAATGACTCACAAAAAAACCGGATGTGAAACGAGGCCGGGAACATATAAGAAACAGTGCTTGAATATAATTGTCACAAAGTGTCACACCTTAGTTTGCAAGTCCGACTTGCCGATTCTTCGGTTATGGCAGGGCGTGCCGCTTGATACTGTACTCGTACGCGTGTGAAAGAAAAACGTGATTCGCCGAAAGGTACGGCAGATGGCGGAGTTTCAATTGTCACGCTCGAATCGGTCTTACAATTCAAACACTATTTCTCGTGTGTTCCCGGCCTCGTTTCACACTGAAACCGGCGTCCTGCTGTTGGAGCTGCGAATATCAGCGATGATTTGAAGGGCATCATCACTGTCTCCTTCTAGGGATGGGCACGGGTCCGGGTCCGGGTATGAAACAGTCAACCCGGACCCGAACCCGGAAAACCCGGACCCAAACCCGCGGGTCTACGGGTTGTCCACGGGTCGTCGGAGTTGATCGGATCATGCCTGCCGAAGCTTGCCGGCACAGTTTAACACCTTCAAAACTGAAATATGCTCACTAATTGAGGTTTTTAAATGCATCGGGTGCTTAACAAAACTTTGGAGCACCTCTCATAGCTGTGAGCCATGTCAAACTGCCTTGAAATGATCTAAATTGCACAATAAATTCAATGTTCGCAGACCCGTGGTGTACCCGAAGGGTTTCGGGTCTACTAAAATTGGAACCCGTACCCGTACCCGGGCCGACCCGACCCGGAAACCCGGCGGGTTGACCCGTACCCGTGCTCAACACTATCTCCTTCACATCCTATGATCCGCTTCAATGTCGTTTCCCACACGGAGTCTAGGAACCGATCCCCGAGATATTCTTTTAACGCCGCCTCGGTGACGGGAAGTGTCATTTCATCGGTAGCGTAAAGATTGAGAATCTTCCATGCCTTTTCGTCGTTGGACATGGGAGGAAGCGGCTCTGTTGAGCTGAAGCGGGGATCAGGACAACCGGAGATCGAACACAAATTTATTCACGGAACGATTCCAGTATGTTTCCAGCAGTGTGTGACTGTCTCCGGGGTCACCCCTGCCCAAGCCTGCTTCGCCATCAGCATAGCTGCTAGAATGTCGATTTTGTATACATCAAGCTCGCCCGCCTCGTCCATGTCGATAGCGCGGGCACAGAACAGCTTGCGATGTTTTGCTTTGAATGTGCGGATGATCCCAGCGTCGCACGGTTGCACAAATGGGGTGAGATTGGGGTGGAAGAACTCAATATGGATGTTGGTAGGCTCGTATGTCACGTAGTGGCCTTTGAAGTTGTCGAGGGTGAGTAGAATGTGCCGCTTTTCACGCCGCATTTTCTGATCAAGATCCACAAGATACCTGTAAAGATTCAGAGGGCTGTAATTGTTTGCGATGTTGTGGCACTCACGACTGAAAAATCTTCTTCGTCATCCATGCCGTCTGGTTATTGTAATATTGAAGACGAGGGCTTTACCTGATTTCTTCTTGAATGCACATGGACACTTGGTGTGGCCAATGTACAGTGGCGGGAGCTTTTCACCCGTTTCACTGCATGTCAGTAAAATGCTGATCCGTTGTTTATTCAATTTTTTGCCGCTCATTTGTTTTGTCGCCAGTCCGCGGTCCGGGGTCGCTCGCCAATTGAAGCCTGTTTCATCCGCATTGAAACGATCTTTTGGATCATACTCGGCTAAAACCTCTTGCATCCGTTCACGTTCTTTGGCAGCGGCAATGGGATCACAGGAAGCGGCTTCACCATGTCGTTTGATTTCTTTTATTTTGTATCTGTACGCGGTGAGTGAAATGATTTTCAGAAAAGGCTGGCAAGGGAACCCACACTTTCAGAAAAGATGGCACCCATCCGCCGTTCCTCAGTTTCTGCTCCTCGGGCACATCAAAATCTTTCTCAAAGTGGGCACGCTTTCAATCAGCAGAAACTCAGAAAGACAATAATTTTTAATGCACAGTGGCTTCCGGATTCGAACTCACGCGCTCCTCCTTGATGTATTATGTAATTCAAACTCCGCTCAATATCAGTATCAGTATCGGCCCGCCGATTAAATGAGGGCGGAATGGAAGCAAAGCCTGATCATCAATCGACATGCAAACAAGTGCACACAGAAAACCTGCTTTGCAGCTTTTGTCTCGATACATCCGAGTCCAAGGAACTTGGAAGCAATGGTCACATCGTCACTCGCCAACTGGAACGGCCCTCTGGCGCCTCCGAACAGCACCTCCACAAATATGGAGACAGGCGTCCATGACATGGCGACCACGATCTCGAGCCCAGGTCAGTTACTTTCAAGTTAATTGGTTAACCGGCTTTCTGACAGTTGACTCCGATTTGCTGCACCCCCTAGACTCTTCCATACCGGGGAAAAGGCACGGAATCTTTGCTTCTGCCAGGCGAAACCTTGATAATTTCGCAAACACGGACCCCAGGACTGCAACTGTGGGGGGACTTTTCTCTGAATATGTATGCAGGACAATGACTCTTTCCGTGACAAATCCAGACCCACCCAACCCTCGATGCAACCTGCGAGTTGCATTCGGCGCCGTTGTCCTTGCCTGGACCCCCGGAGAGTGGTCATCCAGTCGTTGTACTCTCACTATCTGAGTGGGGTCAACTAATCACTGAGGTCACAAACCTACGCCAGTGCGTCAACGCTTTGGTGCAGAGTTTGGCAGATGAGCGTGCGGAACAGAGGATTTGGCACATGGACCTGGGCGAGGTCTTGAAGAGGTCCTGTCCGGAAAAACTTCAGCCGATGGTTGGGGTTGCAAATCTCTCTACATCTCTATTCGGCAGTGATTCACCTCTTACCGAAGTCGAGGAACCCATTCTCGAGCCTTGTCACAAGTCGTTGGAGCCTGAGAATAGAATCTTGAGAGTACGCAAAGGAGGTCTGCGTGGTTTTTTAAATGGAGTTCTGGTCGACTCATTCACGCCTTGACAGGTGTAACGAAGTGTGGAAGGGGCCGCATGTGCAAGGTGTGTTTCACTGTTGGGTGCAAAGGATCGTGGAAGAGAGTGAATTGCCACGCAAGATCCTGGTTTCGTAGATACCCTCCCTCGCCGTGAAGCCCCCATAGGTTTCAACTTTCAACCAGCGTGTGAAATAAAAGCAGCTGGCGTGATATTCCGATGAAATCTATCAATTTGCCTGCTCACAGATGCTCGGAGGCACCCAAGCGGCCAAAAACTGATCACTGATTGGTCATCAGCACGTCGCGTCTTTTTTGGTTCCTTCAACTTCTTCGCTCCATACCCCTTCCTCTTTTCTGCCGCACTCCATAAGGTCAAGCATACCCCACAATATTCCGCTGATCCTTAGACACCCGTCGAGGACCATTCTCACCTATTGCACCACCCATCCTGATTTGGTCGAGAACTTGAAAGGTGTCTTTTGAATGAGCTCAGACCTTCTCGGTGCTGAGAGAGCCACTGTAAATAGCCCCCCGAGTCCATTGAGCCCATAAAATTTACGGATTTCATCAAGAATGGTTTTATTTGCCAAGGATTGATCTGGGAACTTCCCGCTGAAGGTCTGGATGTAGAACAGGAATGGAAACATATATTAAGTACCTGAGTAGACAGATATTCAATGTAGCATCAAATGAACAAACCACCTGCTTACACGGAAGGAATCGGGTGGGAAATGGGGGCACAATTCTAGTCAGAAGACATGGCACTTTTTTGCCAGTTTGGACCAAGCCTCTCTCCGAGAATCACCGACGTGGCGGTGCGGAGACAGGCTTGCTCCGAACCTACTGCTGCACATCATTGGGGTGCATATGATCGTCAGGCGCAAGAGATATAGTGATGGTGGGCAGAGGTCGGTGGCTTTCCTTCCAGCTACCACTCCTTTAGGTTCCTCAAGGTAAATATCCTGACATCAGGAAAATCTGAAATGCTATGAAGTACCAGTGGCGGCTTTTTTTGGTCTTTGATTGTCTATGATGGTCTTTGAAGTTGCCCCCAATGTTTATGATGGTCTATGTTGGTCTATAGTGGGCTGCAGATCTGACCTCCAGCTGACCTCCAGTTAGTGTTGAGCACGGGTCCGGGTCAACCCGCCGGGTTTCCGGGTCGGGTCGGCCCGGGTACGGGTACGGGTTCCAATTTTAGTAGACCCGAAACCCTTCGGGTACACCACGGGTCTGCGAACATTGAATTTATTGTGCAATTTAGGTCATTTCAAGGCAGTTTTACATGGCTCACAGCTATGAGAGGTACTCCAAAGTTTTGTTAAGCACCTGATGCATTTAAAAACCTCAATTAGTGAGCATATTTCAGTTTTGAAGGTGTTAAACTGTGCCGGCAAGCTTCGGCAGGCATGATCCGATCAATTCCGACGACCCGTGGACAACCCCGTAGACCCGCGGGTTTGGGTCCGGGTTTTCCGGGTTCGGGTCCGGGTTGACTGTTTCATACCCGGACCCGGACCTGTGCCCATCCCTACCTCCAGTCTATGTTGGTCTTTCAGTTACATCAGGAAAAAACGAAATGCTATACAGACATGGCTGGGGGCTATGCATGTCTATCATTGTCCACGGTGGTCTATATGACCACCCTCTATAGTGGGCTATCAATGTTTATAAATCTGAGCTTCCACTATTAGTGTCTATTGGTGTCTAGCACTTTGGGGCCTACTAGTAGTCTATGTGGAGCTATCAGGTGTACCTTCTATACTATGGTGGTCTATTACTGTCTATCAGTTTCATCCCCTACAATATACTACTACATGGATTTGTCAACAACATACTCTGGGCTGAAGTGTAAGACCCAGAGGCAATATGCGATGAACAAAACTGGTCCAGAGGCTATCACTTGTATTTGACAAATATTCACAGGTATTGAGGCACAACTAAGACATGCTGCGAGAAGTTGAAGCATAATCTCCAAGCCATCTTAGTCAAGCCTCAGTTCTAGACTTTAGTGATACATGTTCAGGATTTAGTTATGGCTGTGTGGTCTAGTTGGTAAGTATGGTAGTCTTTTATTTTGAGTGTTTTCAAGCGGTCGTGGGATCGAATCCCAGCAGTTGTAAATTTGGTCATTAATGTGTGTAATAATAATAATATGGTAATAGTCATTCCTTGTCTAGGGCACTTGAGTTGTTTCTCCCCAATTGTTCAGGACCTGCTCATAGATTGTGAAATGGCCAGTGTTTTTTTGCCATTCATACCTGATATATGACTACTATCAGACCTATGGAAGCTATGAGTACTACGGTGGCTATCATGTCTAATGTTTTGCGGAGATCATCTCTTGTGTCGTGATTTGAAGGTTGTGTGGAATGTTGTATGGCTCTAAAAACACTTATTTGGATGGCGGAGGGCAAAACGTCCTCGTAATTGAGGCATGGCACCCGGAGCGTGTGAACAGTGGACTTGAACAAGCAGAATATAGGTACAGCTCAGGCTCTGTGTATTTGTGTGATCTATGATTGAATGAGCTAAAAAACTACCCATTATCATTCTATTGAGTGTCCTGGAGGAGTCCCACGGCTCGGATTTGCTCTTGTACTCCCTGTACAGCACCGCGAGACAACTCGATCACAACGATTCCGGGCACGTGACCACGCTTGTGATCACATTGGGACGTGTCGCGTCGCCGGACGGGGATGCACAGAGCTGATCTGAGGCGTGTAATCTCTCGAAAACACTTCAAAGTCAGAATATTGACAATTGGTTCACTCGCTGGAGGATAGAGCACACAGATATATAAGGCCTAGACTGTAGGAATATTTCACAGCTTCAAGTCCACTGTTCACACGCTCCGGGTGCCATACCTCAATTACGAGGACGATTTGCCCTCCGCCATCCAAATAAGTGTTTTTAGAGCCATACAACATTCCACACAACCTTCAAATCACGACACAAGAGATGATCTCCGCAAAACATGCAAAATAATATATTATAATTACTACCGGCGGTATGGAAAGATTCTGAGGACGTCATGCCCTGCGGAATTGTCGTGTAATTCTGCTCATATAGTTTTCAGAAACGTACGTTGAGAATTGAGGTCAGAACAGCTGTTCTGGCTGAAATGATCAAAAACAGCTCAACAAGGAAAAAAAAATCGGCCGCGCCCTAAGTTCCGCAAAGAGCTGTAAGTGAGAAAATTAATCTTGCGGGCAAATTTAGACCTCATACACATTTTTGCACAAGCAAAACTTACTCTATTCATGGTTTCACAGTGAGTTTGGCCTATGTGTCTCATACCCGAGGGCAACCCGCGGGTTTCGGGTCTGGAATACCATCAACCCGTGACCCGTACCCGCTCGACCCGACCCGCAAACCCGCCGGGTTTACCCGAACCCGCGCCCTTCCCTAGATATATGATTGAATGAGCTAAGACACTACCCATTATCATTCTATTGAGTGTCCTGGAGGAGTCCCACGGCTCGGATTTGCTCTTGTACTCCCTGTACAACACCGCGAGACAACTCGATCACAACGATTCCGGGAACGTGACCACGCTTGTGACAGAGCTGATCTGAGGCGTGTAATCTCTCGAAAACACTTCAAAGTCAGAATATTGACAATTGGTTCACTCGCTGGAGGATAGAGCACACAGATACATAAGGCCTAGACTGTAGGAATATTTCACGGCTTCAAGTCCACTGTTCACACACTCCGGGTGCCATACCTCAATTACGAGGACGATTTGCCCTCCGCCATCCAAATAAGTGTTTTTAGAGCCATACAACATCCCACACAACCTTCAAATCACGACACAAGAGATGATCTCCGCAAAACACGCAAAATAATATACTATAATTACTACCGGCGGTATGGAAAGATCCTGAGGATGTCATGCCCTGCGGAATTGTCGTGTAATTCTGCTCATATAGTTTTCAGAAACGTACGTTGAGAATTGAGGTCAGAACAGCTGTTCTGGCTGAAATGATCAAAAACAGCTCAAAAAGGAAAACAAAAATCGGCCGCGCCCTAAGTTCCGCAAAGAGCTGTAATTGGGAACCACCTCGGTGGGCAGCTCAAACCTATGGGGTAAGTATGGCAAATTATGGGTTATCGCAGCTATGCTATGAATCCCGCTCAAAATCTGATTTTTAGTGATAATTGCGCACAATGCGGGGAATAGGGACAGCTCCCGGGGCCACTCTATAGGTTCCTGATGGCCGAGTAGATGCCGTGTTGAGCTGGGAGAGATTAACATATTGTTTCACGCGAGCTTGTACGCGCACTCACTCACGAGGGCCATCTGGATGCTCTGGCACTCCTCTCCGATTTGGCGAGGATTCTACAACCTCGCCACCCTCTCCATCGACACATCCACCCTGCAATTCCTCGTGTTTTCGGCGCGCTGTGCGAACGATTCATGCTAGAGCCAGTTCCATCCACAGATGGTCGAGGAGGAAGTCACCCAGCACATCCCCAAGCCCTGAAGAGGGGCTTGGCTTGGCCTGGCTTTGGCTTGAGCCCTGGCTTTTGGTCCAAAATTTTCAGATGGTATAAGGCATTGAAAAAGATCGCCAAAATACTCACATACAGGCTGATACAGCTATTGGAAAGATATCGTACCCAGGATATTGTGGAGCAGTCAAAAATATCAGTACAACCTGTAGATACTAGAAAGACACTGGCATAAGTTGTTGACACCCGCAAAATATCACTCAGATGTCAAATGCACAGTTCAAAGTGAGTTTTCCCTCTTCCACTTGAAATTTCACACCGGATTGATGCACCTTGACCCTGCCATGACAGTTCCTGCCCCAGATGCTTGTCGTTTCAGTGATTATATATCCACCCGTCGAAGCCCTGGCTTGCTGGCCTGGCTTTGGCTTTACCAATGTCAAGCCAAAGCCAAAGCCAAGGTCAAGCCAAGACTTTGGCTTGGCTTGGCTTTGCAAAGCCAGGGCTTTGGCTTCATGGCTTTCTGGCTTGAAGCCAAGCCAGAACATCACTAGACCCAGCATCCCCGGGGCTCCCGACGTCAAATTTGGGCTGTCTACTAAAGAGGCAACCTCGTAGGTAGACAGACCGGTCATCAGTTGACATAGAACACCATCCATTTTTCAATTTTCAACAAATCGACCCAATGCTTATTCACCAACGGTTCACCCGTCTCCATCTCATTCGACGTCCATCATGAGCAATTCTTCTTTTGGGTTGTCGTTGGCTTTTACTGCTGATTCTCTTGGCCACATAACAGCTACTTCCAACATTCTAATTCTTCCTCCTTGACCTCTGCCTGCCGTATGTCTTTGACCCACCCTTCCCAAGCAGTCCAAGTGCCTACCACTGGGATCTGGTCACACCTCAGTCGCAGTTCCACCGCTACATAACATGTCCATTTTTCAACATGTTCATTCCTCGGCAATCATGCCAAAATTACCATAAATGGTAATCCGGCGAATGCCGGAACAGACATTTTTGGATTTTTCAGCCTATTTGGGCCTCAAAAACTCGCCGTCACCGTCACAGGTACCAAATAGGTTCAGTTCATGACCCTCCATCACCCAGTGTTCACCCTGAAGGCCTTTATTTAGGTTCTCAAAATCCTGAAGGCCTTCAAAAGGTCAGCCTTTAGGTGAAGGGCACCTGAAGGCCTTCATAAAAAATTCCCATGCTATCTGGTGGGCCCAATTTAGCAAGTCCGATTATATTAATTAAGCTCGATACTCGTCGGCGGAATCTATCTCTATCGCACCCTCGTCGGGTTCCTGGTCCTCGAGCTCATCTGCCAACTCCTCCATCAACCTTTCCTCCTCCTCCATCACCTTTGTGGCCGGCTTGCGGGCACGGGGCTTCTCCGCCCCCCCAAACAACACTTCGAGTGTCATCGGCTTCCAAGCGCGAAGGCGGTTGGGCAACCGAGGCATAAGGTCGTCGTCGGCTTCGTCTTCGGGGTCCGAGTCGGCCTCTCTGCGGTCTGCTGCTTGAGCGTCACCGATCCATTTACCCAATTGAGTCCGCCAGCCTTCGGTACTCAACACGAGAGCTCAGCCGCGTTCGCTGGCATCCTCGTCATCCTGGTCCTCAAGAAGATCGCGGTAACGGGGAACACTGAGCAGTGTCGCTACATCAGGAAAATCTGAAATTGCAATATAGACCAGTATAGACCAAAAAAGACATGAAAGTGGTCATAGCCAAGGGCCGTCTATGGTAGACACGTGGGAGGGGGGTCCTTTGCTATATAGACTGCCATAAACACAACCATGTCTATCATAGTCAGAGAGACACAATAGCCAGCATAGTTCTCATAGTTCTCAAAGATTACAAAACATCGACAGTTCAATGGGAGGAAACCAAATATATTTCAAAAACCAAGTACATAAGGGGAACAAAACAAGTACATAAAGGGAACGCCAGCAGGAAAACCACATGGGACATGAGCTTAAGACATAGATCTGGCTTGAATTTGAGGACTTAAGGAGGAGGCACCCGAGAGTATCGAGACAGTGCTGGAGGAGTGGTCTTGAATAGCGAATGTTTGCAGGACCACTGGAAAGTTGATGGAAGGTTTCGACATTTGACGTGAGTATTTGATTCAGATGTCGTGAAAGTGGCGACTGAGACACGAAGCAGAGCACGAGGAGGGAAGGGCACATGAAGTGTAGCACCAGGGTTGATGCGGATGGCGGTTGGACAAGGGAGGACTTGAATGCTGCTGTAACGGAGCGTTTGCGAGGGAGCCGGGGAGGACATTGAGAGCATGCAGAACGGCAGAGCCGACCTTGATTCAAAGGGTTGCAGGAGGTGGTTTGGGCGGCTTGAGTTTGTTGAGGAGGGCCTCGACATTAGAGCGCTTGATGGTTGGCAGTCACTTGGCACGCAGTCTGGTGGCAGGCTTCAAGTCATCACAGTCCTAGTGCTTGTAAAGGGACTTGCAGGAATGAGGTCTTGTAGACGAGGGATCGGGAGGTGTACATAGCGAGCACCCGAAAAGCTCTGCGTCGGTGGCGGGAGACGACGAAGGTGGGGGAAAGGAAGAAACACGTCGACGTGGCAAGATCAATGCTTGTTTGTGTTGGCAACGGGCGGTGCTGATGTTCCGACTTCCCGATCGGCAAACTTT